CCACACCTGGCTTATTTTTTGATTTATTGTAGAGACGAGGTCTTGCCAAGTTGCCCAGACTGGTCTCGAACCCCTGGGCTCAAGTCATCCTCTCGCCTTGGCCTCCCAAAGTGCTGGGATGACAGATGTGAGCCACTGCACCCACCTGTTTTGCTTTGTGTAAGAGATAGGGTCTTGCTCTATTGCCCAGGCTGGAGTGCAGTGGCACAATCAGGGTTCACCGCAGCCTCTATCTCCTGGGCTCAAGAGTCCTCTTGCATCAGCCTCCTGAGTAACTGGGATGCACGCCACCACGTCCAGCTCCCTGCCTTAATGTCTTTTCTGGGGGAAAAAATATGTTCTTGGTATCCTTTGTCTTCATCTTCTCACTTAAAATATTTTCAACTAGCTTTTCTCTTGGGAAAATGTCCCATAGAATCACTAGAAGAAAAGAACTCTCTTTCCTCATTTCAGTGAAGACAGTATTATCTCAACAACTCCTGTGAGACCACAGACACCATCAGACAAAACCAAAATGCAGTAACAGTCAGGCCGTGGTTCCCATCCCCTGTGAGCATCTGGCAGGCTCCCAGGAGATCGATATGGCATTTCATTTGTGATGGACTTGCAACCTCCGTGGGCAGGAAATGCAGATTTTGCCAGTGCAGGCTTGGAGACACGCCAACAGCAGCCCAGCTCACGTCCACAACACCCTGAGGGAGGATGGGTGAGGCCCTCTGAGTCCTGGCCTCCACGGAAAACAGAAAACAGAGGCTTTGGAGGTGGCTCTGCTACCAGGGCTTTTCAGGATGACAAAATGCAGTATCGTAGCTGTCATCATGAGACTTTATTTATTTTTTCAGTCAGGGTCTCACTCTGTTGCCCAGGCTGGAATGCAGTGGCACAATCGTGGCTCTCCGTAGCCTCAACCTGTTAGACTGAAGTGATCCTCCTGCTTCACCTTCCCTGTATCTGGACTAGGGGCGTGTGCCACCTCACCTGGCTAATTTTTTTTTTGAGTTGGAGTCTCGCTCTTGCCCAGGTTGGAATGCAGTAGCATGCTCACGGCCACCGCAGCCACAACCTGCTGGGATCAGGCGATACTTCCACTTCAGCCTTCCAAGTAGCTGGAACCACAGGCACACGCTACCACACCTGGGTAAGTTTTTGATTTATTGAGGAGATGAGGTCTTGCCAAGTTGCCCAGGCTGGTCTTGAACCCGAGGGCTCAGGCAATCGTAATTTTTTTATTTTTTCTAGAGATGAGGACTCCCTAAACTGCCTTGGCTGGTCTCAAGCTCCTGGGCTCAAGCGACCCACACGCCTCAGTCTCCCAAGTGCTGGGACTACAGGCATGCGCCACCGCACCTGGCCATCCTAAGAATTTTAAGGAAGAAAAAAGTAACAGACCCAGTGACACTAGAACATCTACGGCCCACAGCATTACTTTTGGGAATCCTAAGTCATCACCATCAGAGGGGGAGGAGGACGGATCATTTTGGAGCCCGCAGGAAGAATCGCTGGAGACTAGACAAGAACGCATCCAAGTCTGCAGGTGGACAAGGAGGCTGAGGGACACAGGGGAGGCTCAGGGAGCCGGGGCCGGAGGAGGGGTGCGGACGGACACTGCGGAGGAGGTGAGTGGCCGTGGCAGCAGCAGGGCTCGAGAAACTTGCTCAGGGCACAGCCCAAGTGGCGGCCACCCACGATGCCACTGGCACCCTAGCTTCATGCCCCTTCAGGTAGGGAGAAGGCAGAAACGGTGGACCTGGGTCGGGCATGGTGGGACACCCGCAGTCCTGGCACTTTGGGCGGCTGAGGCAATAGGATGCTTGAGCCCAGGAGGTCAAGGCTGCCATGAGCTGTGATCGCACCAGTGTACTCCAGCCTGGGCGACAGAGTGAGACCCTGTCTATAAAAAAATCTAAAGGCCAGATGCAGTGGCTCAGCCTGTCATCCCAGCACTTTGGGAGGCCGAGGCGAGAGATTGTCTGAGCCCAGGGGTTCGAGAACAGTCTAGGCAACTTGGCGAGACCTCGTCTCTACAATAAGTCACAAAAATGAGCCAGGCGTGGTGGCGTGCGTCTGTAGTTCCAGCTACTTGGAAGGCTGAGGCAGAAGGATCGCCTGAGCCCAGCAGGTCAAGGCTGCGGTGGCTGTGAGTGTGCCACTGCACTCCTCCAGCCTGGGTGACAAGAGTGAGATTCCAACTCAAAAAAAAAAAAATTTAAAAAGCCAGGCACAGTGGCACATGCCAGGGGTTGGAGATGAGTCTGGGCAAACCGGCGAGACCTCATCTCTACAATAAATCAAAAAATGAACTGGGTGTAGTAGCTCACGCCTGGCATCCCAGCACTTTGGCAGACAGAGGCAAGAGGATCACCTGACCCCAGGGAGTTCAAGACCAGCCTGAGCAATTTGGCGAGACCTTGTCTCAGTGTGCCACTGCACTCCAGCCTGGGCTATAGAGTGAGACTCCAACTCAAATAAAAATAAAAATAAAAGGAGCTTTGAGCTGTCCCAATCTTTAGCCACTGAAGTACGGCCAAGTCTGCACTTCATAGACTCTTCCTCGTGAACATTTGTGCAGAGCTGGGCATTTCGACGCTGCTTCTGTTCCCTGTGAACGTTCCTGAGCCTCCCACCTCATCTCAGCTTGGACACAGGCCACCCACACCCGGCCCCAGGCGGCAGAGGCGAGGTGGGAACAGGGAAGTGTGGAATCCAAATGAGTCAACACAGGCATTTGGGACTGGTTGGTTCTTTTTTTTCCCCTTTAAGAGACAGGGTCTTGCTACATTGCCCCCGTTGATCTTGAATCCCTGGCCTCAAGCGACCCTCCCGCCTGGATCTGGCAGAGCACTGGGACGGCGGGCGTGAGCCCCTGCACCAGGCTCACTCGTCGGTTTCTGCCTGTGCTCCCCCTTGCTTGAGTCTAGTCCGCTTGAGTCTGGCTGTCGCTCCCGCCACACTGCCGCTTCAAGCCACCCAGCAGCACTTGCGAACCCCTGCCTGCCAGTCTCCGGGTCTCTCCGGATCGCCGTGCCCCTCGCCCACCATCAGGACACGCAAAGTGTGCCCCAGCCCTGGACACAGATGCCTTGGACACGAGGACCTCACTCCACTGCTGTGACTTGGCCCTCCTGCGGACGTGGCCCCGGTACACAAGCGACTGATCTGCAAGCCGGTCACCCAGCAACCTTTGTGTCTTAGTCTACTACCTGGTGGGAACTGCAAGCCCAAGGACCACCAGTTCCCTCCTTGGTGCTGTGAGATCCTTGGCGGTCGAGGCCAGGAAGGAGGGAAAGGAATGGAGGGCGGAGCGTTCCGGAACGCACAGCACTCACCGGTCTGTAAGTTTCCAGCTTCTTGGCCATGCTGCCATCCGCAGGCTGAGTCCTTGAGGATACACTGTCCTCTTGAATCCTGTCGTTCACACGATGGTGAGCGAGCACTACTTCTGACTTGTGCATTGCTCAAGTTTGTCATGTGATGGCATTTCGTCGTCTACCTTTAAGGAAAGAAGCATTTTCCCATGTTTCCATAAGCCACAGATGGGGCAGCCACCTGAGGCCAGCGGGGGAGTGAATGCCGCTTACCATGCTCTGCGGTGAGCCTTGGCAGATAAACTCCTCCTTCAACAGGCGCTCAAGTCCTGGGTGTCCAGAGACCCCGTATCTAAGCACTAGCGCCTCCCCGCGCCCCAGTCGGCTCTCCTGCTGTGGCAGGGAGGGGGCTGTGCAGGAAGGGGAGCCCTGCAGGCTGGTATCCGGGTCCTGCCCACCCCAGAGGCCCCAGGACTGTCCTCGGCAGACTCCTGGGAGGCGAGCCCAAGCCCCAGGAGTGTCCTGCCTGGTACGCATCTCTGCACGCCTGAGCCTTGGGTCCACACGACGGTCTGAGTTACTGCAGAATCCACGGTGGACGCCCTTTGACCTCCCTGGGGCCTGGGCCGTGCTGCACCCACTTGACCATGGGGCTGTGGCTCTGGGGTTCCCACAGGTGCCACCGCCTACTTTACTGACTCCTACAGACACCTGGACACGAGGTGTGAGGGAGCTTGTTGCCCCATGCCTGCCGGAGGAGGGAGGGCCACTCCCGCAGCTCACTAGCCAGGTTTCCCAACTCGTGCCCACGCCCACTTCCCTCAGGCTCCATCATCTCAGCGTCGTGAACTATGAGAGTCTACAGCTCTCCAGGATGCTGCGATCCTCACAGGTGGCCTTGGAGGCTAACATGGGAGTAAGACCACCGCTGCCACTGGTCCACGGGCAGGAAGACCAGCATCCGGGAGGCGCAAGTCCCCACGGCCCCACGGAGGGCAGCGCGGTGCCTGCAGGCAGCCGACAGCCCCCCCCGCCCTCATCCCACCACTCGCCCTAGGCTAGGGGACACCCAATACGGTGTCAATGCTATGTAAGTAGTTGCTACACAGTATTTTAAAAATCTGTACAGCCAGGCGTGGTGGCTCACGCCTGTAATCCCAGCACTTTGGGAGGCAGAGGTGAGAAGACTGCCTGAGTTCACGGGTTTGAGACAAGCCTGGGCAACTTGGCGAGACCTCTCCTCTACAGTAAATCAGAAAAATTAGCCAGGTGCAGTGGCGCACACCTGTAGTTCCAGCTACTCGGAAGGCTGAGATGGAAGACTCGCCTGAGCCCAGCAGGTCGAGGCTGCAGTGGCCTTGAGTGTGCCCCTGCACTCCAGCCTGGGTGACAGAGTGAGACTACAATTCAAAAGAAAAAAAAAATTCTCTACTCTTTCTTGCTGTTGTATTGTTATTTTTAAATTTTTTCCCAGTAGATATGGAGGACTGACTACTAAGTAACTTATGCAAGAAATATTTCAGAGGCAACGAATTCTACAGTTATTCTATCCATGGTCAAGTGACAGCATCGGTTAAGTCAGTGAAGGTAAAAATGCTGAGTAAGTGTCTATTTGGTAGCAGTTTCATTTTGATTTGTACACCCTGACTCAAAGGATTTCGATTGCTTTATAAAAACCCACAGTAAACACTAACATTTCAAATAGGTTAAAATAGACTTTTATTAACTGTCAGAAGAGATTTATACACAATGCCCGAATTCTTTACCAAGAATCGCCCATCCTTGTTCAATCTGCAGCCGTTTCTGTGCCGTCTGGAGAGCGAAACGGGGCCTACAACATCTTTTCCCCTCCAGGATCACACGGCTAAGTTTAGGCAAAACTGCACTTAAGACTGAAGTCTGCATGGAAGTGAGCCCAAATGCCCTTATTCTTTACCCCAGTGATAACATAATGAAAAAGTAAACATTAAACTGACTTACTGAGGAAACAGTGAACACAAATCCTGTAAACGTCTCAAACACACCCAAACTTTTGTATTGCCTTCAGAAGCAGTGCCATCGCCAAGTATCGGCAACCACGCCATGGACTCAAGTAAAATGAATGTTAAGAATAAAAACATCGTCACAAAGAAGCACCTCTTCTTGTAAGACATATTAGGAAGTTTATTACACCGAGGGCTTGTGGTACAGACCATAAACGCCTCAGAAGACAGTCTTTCACACAGAACAGTGAAAATCCTTCCACCTGAGAGTGACTGACACCGCTGTGGTGGTGTTGCTCGTATAAAAGAAGTTACATGTTCAAAATATGCTGGCAGTGCATAAAAGTGGCCAATGGTCCTGGTCTTTGAGAGCACACCTGCAGGTGAACAAGTCTGGCTCCGACCCTTCCATTCAAAAGCAAACCCCTTCTCCAAAAGGATCACTGCCCAACGGAGGCACGGCGGAGGCACCGGTGGAGGCTGGTGGTCCCCGGGAAGGAATGTGGCTCAAAGAAGCAAGCGGGAGCCAATTCACCTCAGAGATGGCAGCAAGACGGCAACACACGCATCACCACAAAGAATGTTGGAGCTCAACACTCTGAATCTGTGCCCTGAGCTCTGGAGGCTTTTTACCGTCTCTGGTACAGATGCTCCGTCGTCCATGCTGTGCTCGCCAACGCTGCCGTTCCTGCGCTGGAAGTAGAAAAGCCGCATGTGCAGTGCCATGGGGTGGTGGCAGGGACACCTCCGTGGACTCTTTGGTGAGGGGCCGTCCTGCAGGTGCCGCCTGCCTCTGCCCCAAGGCGTGCCCTGACCTCAGGTTATCTTCAGAGGAGACACCACGAGCCCATAGTGAAGGACCAGCAGGCCATCCTGGAAGGGGAGAGACGGTTTTGCAGTCCTTGAAGCCATTATGTCAACGACGAAGCCAAAGCCGACATGTTCTTCATAAACCGACACTCGTGAAGCTGATGGGAGAGACAGAGGGACCACACACACACACACTTGCACACTCACCAAGCACTCCCTGGGGGTGTGTCGACGACTCTCAGGAACCGACTCTGAGTCGATGGCACAGCCACAGCCAGCCAGCGCTGCTGGTGACAGAAAAGCAGCAAGAAAAGCAGCAGAGTCACGCCTTTCCCCCCAGATGTGTGCACATGGGCTCTGCTGGAGACCTGCTGGGCTCAGGCGATGCTCCCGCCTTAGCCTCCCAAGCAGCTGGAACCACGCCTGGCTAATTTTTTGATTTATTGTAGAGACAAGACCGCACCAAGGTGCCCAAGGCTGGTCTCAAACCCCTGGGCTCAGGCAATCCTCTCACTTCAGCCTCCCAAAGTACCGGGATGACAAGCCAGAGCCACTGCGCCCGGCCCAGAAACCAGCTTAAAGGATTTCCCACTGATCGAACTGGGGACAATATGCGCATCAAAATAATTAAATACAATAATGATTATAGGCTACTAGAAATGAATTTATGAAACTATTCCAACCATTGATGGATGGACAGAAAACAAGGAAGATATTTTGCTAAAAGTGAAATGCTGAAGGTTGATTGACAAAATGTGGAGATTGTGCTAAGATTGGGGTGGGGGAGGGATTATTTTGCAGTCATCAGGGTAAAGAGTGGACCAGGCAAAAATCATCAGTGGATATAACATCTCAGATTACAAGTTGATGAAGAACAGGGTGTTTACTTAAACCGGCATCACTTACACTTCTAACCTGTATGAGATGTCTGTTGTATTTCTGTCTGATGCAACATGCACGAACGTGTGAATATTACCTGTCTACTCTCAAGCTTGACATCTCCCTCCTAGGTACTCTTCCTTCTACATGTCCGGTGACAGCGTCTCTTAAACACAGGTCAGCTCCTGCCGCCCACCACCCCGGCCCGAAACCCCCTTGCCAGCAGTCTCCCTGATTGCCCCACTGAAGCCCAAGGCTCTCATCACAGCTGGGGGTCCTGGGTCACTGCCCCGACAGTCTCCCTTCACCCACCGCCTCTTGGCTCTGCCTTGAAGGGCAGGTGATCCGCTCAGCCGAGAAGGCCTGAGGCTCCCTAGGCCTGTGTGTCAGTGAGGACAGCAACTGCACTGCAGGCTGGGTCGTTCTGAGGCATGCTCTCACCCTGGTCTCCAGGGTGTCTAGAACAGTGCTCTGTAAATTATCATGAACCGAAGCTGTATTTTCCACCCATCCCATTGATGTTCTTCACTTCTTGATTTACTTAATTTCTTTTTTTTTTTTTGAGTTGGAGTCTCACTCTGTCGCCCAGACTGGAGTTCAG